GCGGTGGTAGTTGTGGTTGTTGTGATTCAGCTTACGAATTTCTGGAGCCTGATAGGCTACAGAATCAGGATTCTCATCGTCCGAGGGGACAGCTAGGACGGAGAGACAGTAGTCGGTTATGCACGCCTCGAAATCGGAGCCGAGGAGGACGTTAGAGGACTTGAGATTGCCATGGACAAGCCTCCATGCTTGGTGGATGTAGGAAAGTCCTTGAGCTACATCCTCTGCTATTTTCAAACATGAAGTCCAGTGAAGTGGCTTTGCTCTTGATGACTTGGAACCTGTACACGTCGCAAGTTGACTAGTCAAACTTTATTTCAGTACCACCGTGGCATTAAATATGCATTAAAGCTATTATTTATACTAACCACCGTACTCTTATTAACTTCACGTTACGCAACCACACGTGAAACAAAATTTAAATAACTCTTACTGCAGACAGAACTAGCTTCAATTTTAATACTATAATCTTTAATAATAAGGACACTAAACAAACATAAAAGTATTTTACGATGACAGAAATATGTGTCCAAAAATGTCATCACGGTCAGCTGCAGGATTCTCTGTGTTTGTGAGAACCTTGGGGTTGAGAAACTGAAACAATAGGGTATGGTGTATGGACCCAATTTGATTGGACAACATATTCAAAATATTCCGTTTATTTAAATTACATTCTACTTATCGAAGGTCAAAATAATATTATTTTTCATACAATTTATATGCATCTTAATATAAATAATAAATACGAGATATACAGAGAAGAACGTACCATGAATAAGAGAAAACAGGCTGCCATTGGGTTGATAATCATAGACCAAAAGCCTTTCTTGTCGGGCCTGAAAATAAGCCCGAAAAGGAACCAAATTCGGGTGCCTAAGCCCGCCTACTGATTCCATATGCTGCTCAAACTCTTCTTGACTTGTACCGGCCAATCTCCCACCGTCCAATCTCTTCACACACACAATCAGACGGTTATCAAGCACTGCTTTGTAAGTAGTCCCCATAGTTCCTCTACCTAAAAGCTCAGCAGAAGCTCTCATCAGCTGTTCCAGGGTATACACCTGCACCTCACCTGCACAGAATACTAAGCTCCCACTTTTACCCATCACTTGCTGCATTCCTTGTTGTACTCTTTTCACCTTCTCTTCCAGTTCATTGTTATCTTCTTCAATCCTCAATACTGCTTCTGCATTGCCACTAACACTAGGATCGAATGCGGATTTTTTAGTTTCTCCCAATTTCTTCGAGGTCCTTCGCTTCTTCGACGCTAATGCTAATAGTATAACTGAACATAAAAGGACTAAACAAGCGGTTGAAACTCCAATAATGAGTAAAGATCTTTTATGTGATTTGTTTTCTTTACGGTTTAACGGACTTCCCTTACGTAACTCTTCGTTTTGGCCGAGTTCTGCCGGAGTTTTTGACGGCGGCGGCGTGATTTTTGTGGAGGCAGCGGTGGATGGACTGAAAAACGGTTGTATTGGACGGCATTCTTTGTGTACGATCTCACCACAAAGTCCTTTGTTTTCTGAAAACGACGCTGTTTTAAACCGGGATAACGTTTTCGTTACCGGAATAGGACCAGAAAGGGCATTGTGAGAAATGTTGAAAACATGGAGAGTAGATTGGTTCAGCGCTGGGATTGATCCGTTTATCCGGTTCGAGTCAAGCCGGAGATAGTACAACCGGTTCAACCCTTTGATCGCAACGGGTATTGAACCGGTGAGTTTATTGTAAGAGAGATCAAGGGTTTTTAGCCTATGAAGAGTGAAAATGGAAGCTGGAATTGAACCGGTGAAGGAGTTATGGTCCAGGAAAAGAACTTTGAGATTAAAAAGTGCAGAGAGATCAGGAATCGGACCGGTAAGTGAGTTGTTTTGTAAACTCAATACTCTCAGTTGATCAAGCATAGATAATGTATTAGCTGGAAACGTACCTCGTAAGCTAAAACTTTCAATAACAATACGAATCACTTTCTTCTCCGAGCATTGTATCCCTTTCCATTTGCAGAATCTGAAACTTGTATTAGCAGAAAATGCAAGTTTGTTGTCCAAATCAGCTTTGTATTTGAATGCTAACAATGCTGATGCATCAGAAGGAATCAAGGAAACAGTGGAATGAAAAAAAACAGAAAAAAGCAGAAGAAGTAAGAATTGTTGTATATTCATTTTGTTTCAGAAAAATTTTCCAGATTGCATTGTTGTGTAATACGTGACAAAAGAGTGAAGAGAGAAGCAGCTGTCTAAGAAGATATGGCAAGAGGCAGAGTCAGATTCACGTGAAGATTTTTGAGAAAGTAAAAAGAAAAGTGGGGACTTCCAATATTTAGTCCGGCTATTTTTCTCTCTGTTTCTGTGTCAGCCATGGCCATGTTTCGATGAAAATAAGTTATTCTATCACTATGATATAATAGTTAGATAAACCATTCAATCACGGGTGAGGTAAATGACTCGTTAGTACCTCTCTAGAGGGGTTGTTCTGAAATAAACTGATCATTGTATTAAAATTATGTCATGATTAGTACACTATGTTTGGTAGGAGTAGTATTTCAATTTGTTGTTTAGAAAATTCAGTACATATATCAATTATGGTATTTGTTTGGTTTGTGTGGTTGGTTATCAATTTACATTTCCGTATAGTTTAAATAAGTTGAACTTGTGAGCTAAGATGTGCTTTCTTTGTTTCACTTTATATGAAGTGTTAACTTTGCAAGATATTTTTGCATCATTAGTTATTGTTGATTTGATTTGTATAGTGTTGAAGTAGAAGACTAGATAGGGAAATTTTTTATGGTTAAAAGATTTGTCATACTAGTTATTTCTCAAGTTGAAAAGAGAAATATATTGAATTTGATGTATTCAATTTCATATATAAGATAAAAGATATAGAGATTTCATATATAGAATTGCAAAATAAAAACTATTTATCTTGAAAAGGTTTAAAGAAAATTTTGGAAAAACATCAGCAAGAGTAATTAAATTTTACAAATCAGCATTACTAATACATACATAAATTCAACGTGACACAACTACCCAGTATCTACGAAGAGGTATTTTTTAGTAGTAGGATATGTTAGGGAGATTTTGAAGTTGGAAGGACACAAGCTTGTCAATACAAGTTCTACTATTTTATGTTTAACTTGTCAACCAAATTGGTTGGAGAATTCTTTAGTGATCCATCTAATATTTTAGGGATGTATGAAGAAGTGTAGGGGACTGTTGTTAATAATAGTCCAGTGATAAGATTATACATCCTTTGACTAATGGCCCATTCTTAATTGGGCTTGTCATTGTCATATATCAGTGTGTTGTCTTTTGGAATTTTGAGATGTCAAGACATGATTTCTGTTCTCTTTTCACTCAATAATCACTCTACTAGTTGAAACTTGAAAAAGAAAATGAAAACATCATTTGAATAATCAAAATGTGTATATATATATATATAGAATTTTTGACCAAAATAAGCCATTTTATAAATCAATTCACCAAAATAGTATGTTTTTAATTTTGTTTACAAAACTAGTATAAACGTGGTTCACAGTAACGTTTTATACTTTATTTATTTTTTAAAAAAATTATTTTATTTTAAAAAATTTAATGAGAAAAGGGACGGTCCGCTAACGACGTTAAATAATAATACGTAACTGGAAATTACGTTTTAACTCTAATACGTTATCGAGAATAACGTTTTAAGCATATATAATTTAATAATAATACGTAACTGGAAATTACGTTTTAACTCTAATACGTTATTGTGAATAACGTTTTAAGCATATATAATTTAATAATAATACGTAACTGGAAATTACGTTTTAACTCTAATACGTTATTGCGAATAACGTTTTAAGCATATAGAACAAAAAAACCCCATTGAAGCGTAAACATACATTAGCCCCTTCTCCTCTTTCTCTCTTTTCTCTGTGTTTTTTTTTAAACGAGAAAGATAAAGGTATTATCGCACTCGATTGCAACCCATATTTCCCCAAATTCGCTGGCACTCGGCTGAGACCAAAACGACAAACCCTCCAAGAAAACCCTAAGAAAACCCACTTGAAAACGGCTGCAGATCTGCTTTAATAAGGTAAAAAAAACTTTGATAATGAAGAGTTCTTTTTGTGATTCAGGTAATTTTGTCATACATTGATTTAGTTTATCTTATAGTTGATGAATTTGTTATTTTCCTTTAGGCAACCACCGAAACATTCGTCTTTCTCCCTGCTTTCGATCTCTTCGTTGTAGCGATCCAGCTCAGTAGGAGCATTCACTGCTTAGAGGTAAGCTTCCATGTCTTGTGATTCTTCATCTCCCTACCTTCTTCATCTTAAACCTTTGAAATCGCTAAGTGAGTAACTGCGTTATAGGTCGATTTACTCTGTTATTACCTAAGTGAGTGAGTGGGTTATAGGTCGATTTGTTGTAGTACCAGTTGCTTAGTTTGCTTAAGAAGGAAGGGAATTCATTTTCCCTCGCAAATAGAGTCTCTGCTTTGGTCAACGTTTTGTCTGCTAACATAGATAGCAAGTACTTAACTATTGAAGCTATAATGATCCTAAACAGGAATAGTCTCTTGCAATTATTGAAGTTGCTCTGTCCTTGTCTTTTAATCTGTGCCTGCGATTTGGTGTGTACATGCATGGTTTTATGTTGTGTAAATATATCATACATAATATATTTATCATTATTTAGAACCTACCTAGAAGTACTCGGGTTGCCTCTCCTAAAAAATGCATATAGAGAGAATATATCAGTTTACAGCACAAGGGTATATCTGTAATTAACTAAGTGAGTGATCGGGTGGGTGATTGAGTGGGTTATAGGTTAACCCCTGCCACTCTTACCAAATCTTTGGTAAGTGAAAGCAGTAAACTGTTGTGCTTTTGATTGTTTCTGTCATGTAAACATAATTTACAACTACTATATATTTAACAACTCTTGCACTTGTAGATTGAGAAAAGCTTCTAAGTTACGTTGTATTCTTACTTTTGTGTAGGTATTTATTTTATGGCTGCTAATAATGCATACCAATTGGATCCCGGTCCACTTGATGCGTCTGTATTAACTGGACAGCTCACTCATAGGTCACGAGATATATGGATAGGGAATGATAATATGATTTTGAACACAAGAAAATGTGATGGGAAGTTTTGGGACCTAGTAAATGAACATCTCATTCATCCACGAGTCCTAGATGTGATTAAACTATCTGGATTATATGGTATTTATAGGTCTCATAGGCCTGTAATTGATCGTAGCTTAATCACCGCATTAGTTGAGAGATGGCGGCCTGAGACTCATACATTCCACTTTAGGACGGGTGAGAGTACGATCACTTTACAGGACGTGGAGATATTGTATGGCTTACCCGTGAAAGGTAATGCGGTAGTTGGGTATGAGCCACAGAGGTCTATAGTGGATTGACAAAATATTTGTCAAAGATTATTAGGTTTTAGTCCACAACCTCAAGACTTTAAACATAGTAGTCTCAAGGTTTCTGCGCTTAATACACACTTGCGACTTCAACCACGATTACCCCACTTGGCAATACAGGATATGGTTAATGAGAAAACTAGGTGTTATATGTTTTGGATGATTGCAGGTTTACTATTGGCAGACACATCTGGTGGTCTTTTAAAGCTTATGTACTTGCCTATGCTGGAGGATATCACTACAGTAGGGTCTTACAGTTGGGGTAGTGCAACCCTAGCATATTTGTATCGTTTTCTTTGTAAAGCCTCCCAAAGTAGCCAAAATGAGATTGCTGGATTCCTACCACTACTTCAGGTATACTCAATAATTACACTTAGTATTTATTGAAATTTTATCTAGTTTATAATTATCTATTATGTCTAGATTTGGGCATGGGAGAGAGTTATCGTTCTTACGCCTCAGATTGTAGCAAAAAGAGATACAAGGAATATTTTCCCTGTTGGTTTACCAAGGGGTCCACATGCTGCTAGATGGTATGCACATTTTAGTTGGACCGACACTACCAAACACGTGTTAAGAGTTTTCAGGGATGCGCTGGATTCCATGACAGAAAATCAGGTAAGATTTTGCACTAATTTTCTCTTAACTTTCGTATATATTGTAATTGTGAGTACTTTTTTTTATAGTTTATTTGGGAACCATATTCTTCTGACATAATTGAGAGTCTTCCCAAATATTGCCGCGTTGGAAGAGACATATGGCGTGCTAGAGTTTCAATTTTTTGTTGGGATGTTGTTGAGGTTCATTTACCCGATCGAGTTATGAGGCAATTTGGATTGGTACAAGCGATACCATCTTCATTTGCATTTGACGCTACACATTTTAACCATGATCGTCGAGGAAGATCAAACACAAATTGGGAGTTAGAGCATGCACAATGGTTGCATTTTTGGAACCATATTGATCAATATGTATGGAATGCACCAATCCTTCATGGATCACTTCGGTATGATGATCCCTACCTTATTTGGTTTAGACGTATTACTCGTTTTATCATTGGTAATCCTATTTCGAGTCCTCAACAACAACAAGGTTACGTGCCTAATGCGACGACATACGAAACAATGGTAAGTTTGATATTAGCTTATTAATTGTTGGAGCATAAATGATTTCTTTCGAACTATAGCTAGAATGTGTTAATTTTGAATTTTGAGGCAAGTTTTGTTATTTTGGACAGGTGCGTCATATTCATTTGATGGTTAATAAAGCAATATCTCTCGGTGAAAATCCATCAATGGAGGAATTATACGGGTTTCGTGCGATGGTGCGGGATGAAGGATCTAATTGTTTGGCATATGTGCAAGAGGCAGATAGGACTTATGTTCAAGCAGATTATAGAAGAGAGGAGCTAATGTCTGACCATTTGCATCCTCCTATTCGTCGGCGAGGAAAAGGTGGTGTTGCGGGTAGGAAGGTATGTGCTATTGAGATATGACCAAATTTGGGTAGGTCACTAAATGATTTCTTAAAGTCACCATACACCAATTCAAATGCGCGTTGACGCCCAAGCCACGCTTTTCTGTATGTTATTTGATGACCAAATTTTTCGTGAACCTTGGAAATGACATCTACCACCAAAACCTTGGGATTTTTTTCAATTTGATTAAGAATCAAAGATGCAATTAAATTGGTATTTAGATTGGCATGACCTCTAGAAAGCCCCTCAGTCTCACATCTATGATTTTCAATATATTTTCCTATTTTCCAAAGGTTATCTCCAACCTTTCGTCCTCGGAGAAACCACAAGCAACCCAATGAAGTATGAAACTTACATCTTGCAACCCATATGTTGTGCGGAATTTGAGATAATACGAGAAAATATAAACGCAAAAAACAAGACAACAGTTTACGTGGTTCACCAATAAATTGGCTACGTCCACGGGAAGAGAGGGAGCAGTTTTATTATGGAGAGGCAAAAACAGAATTACAGAATAGGGTTTCCCATAGCGTCTATATATAGTGCTAAGCTACGCCCTAACAGGCTTGGGCCCAACATACAGAATCAACAGAAAATTAAGGGCCCAATACAACAACATTGTATACCGTCGGGCCGGGGGCGTCCTTTCTATTTGTAGCGAGACCCCCGTCCTTTCTATTTGTAGCGAGACCCCCGTCCTTTCTATTTGTAGCGGGTCCGATTCAAGGCATTCAACACCATAAACTCTTGTTTGATGTCACCACCTTGAATTCTTTATTTTTTTTTAAACTCCAAATTGTCACAGCTCGTTTTAATTTTTCTTTACTATTAAAAAACATACCTTTTTTCAAATCTTTTGTGCCATCTTCAGACCAGACGGAACAATACTCCATCTCAGATTCACATGTAGACATGAAAATGTCTTCCTCGTTATCTAATGTTCTAAAATAGGGTACATCATTTTGCACTTCAGACACATCCTTTTCAAATTGATTAGGAAGATTTATACCAATGTCATTTTGAGAAAAATCTCTAGTATTATTGATATCTTCATCTGATTCACTTTCACCATCATCTTTTGAAGGTTCATCTTCCTCCGAACTTTCTTCACTAATTTCAGCATTTACATCACTATATGGATCAACATTGTTCTCATTTTCTCTGTGGAAAAAGAAGTTCAATTAAATTTTAGAAAATTATGATACATAAAAGCTTGTTTTAAAATCAGTAATTTATTCTCCATAAGGTTATTCCTTAAAAAAGTTAAGGTAATTAATCACAAAAAATATCACTATCTATCTATATATGTATATTTATAATGAGTAAAATTGTGTTATCAACTAATTATATTAAACTTCATTAAAACATAAATTTGTTGTTTTACCTGCCCTCATATTTTCTCGAACTATTGTCAACATGTCTTTGGCTACTTGAACCTTCGCCAAATGATCCTTGGTCATGCATTAACAATTGTTGAAAAAGTGGTTGAGCAATCGGCTCTGCATAATGAGGTTGACTAACCGTGGCAAATCCATAATCTTGAGACAATAAATTCATATGATAACTATGTTGACCACTAATTTGAAATATATCATTTTGATTTGTTGATTTGGTCTTTACGTACATTTCCAAAACATTTATGTCAATCTTATCTGCAAAGTTTTGAGGTATAACAAAAAATTGTAGCAAAGATTGATCATCATCAATTTTAAACTCAATGAACCTTGTACAGTTACCTTGAATCAAACAAGGATATTTTCCCGAAATATCCATTTGAATATTTTCACTAGTTGTACCCATTTTCTCATGCAATAATTCAACCAATTCAACATACTTCATTGAAGTACACATGTTAATAATCATCCTAGCACATTCAGTATACCTGCATCCGTTCATTTCAGTAATTATTTCGCCACCCCAGTACAAAGCAATCATCACATTATGTTCAAAATTTGCCATTTTTATTCCTACACATAAAAATAAGTCATCTTTCTAATTAATAAATTAGAAAAATATTTGAAAGCTATGGTAAAAATAATAACACAATATGATACATTGACTTGACTTATTTAATTCATACCTTTGTAAATATTGTTTCAAAATTGGGCTACACAAACAAAATTTTGAAAGAATATTGTTGGAGTGTTTAGAACATTTGTTTCAACAAGGTTCATTTTATAACCATTTGTCGTCAGTAAAAAAAAGAGAAAATTAACTTTAACATAGTGTCGTAATTGACAGTCACGATTTAATGCAGCAATGTGATCAGCGATAACGTTTTATGATCTGTAAGATTCCAATGTAGCAGGATTTTATTCTTAATCCGGTGCCCCGTGATTAAATAAACATAAAACGTAATTGACAGTTACGTCTTATATAATAAACGTGATTGTCAGTTACGTTTTATAATCTGTAAAATACAGGATTCGATTCTTTAATTGCAGAGCCCGTGACTGGATAAGACGTACTAATATATAAAAACGTTACTTTAAGTAACGTTTTAGCTCTAAAAAGTGATTCTAGATAACGAAGTATAAAACGTTATTGTCAATAACGTTTTATTTCTGTTTGCTCCGTGAACTTTTGATTTTTTTTTCATTAAATTTTTTAAAAATAAATAAAGCATAAAACGTTACTGTGAACCACGTTTATACTAGTTTTGTAAACAAAATTAAAAACATACTATTTTGATGAATTGATTTATAGAATGACTTATTTTGGTCAATTCTTCCCATATATGAAGTGAATATTAAGTGTGTGTACAATTTTAGCTTCTGCTAACTAGTTTATATCATATGTCCACTAACTAAATTAATAAAGCCATTGAAAACAAAGATAGAGTGATTGTATGACAAAGCTGTTCAATAATTATACATAATAAAATGATAGGTTATTGTTACTGATGGATTATTTAGAGCTGGACATCCACCAGCGCTGCACTAACGCCATGGCAATAGTCGGTCGATGGTGCATTAAATATAATTTAGTGTGCACACTTTAGTATTTTTTCCAGAATTATAATTAGGTGGTACTACTAAATATATGTAAGCATTTATTTTTTTTGCTGAAATTGTGTCATGCTTAGTCACGTAGTTTTCAGGGTTGTGGGACGAGATATATAAGAATATAATGATCTGACTTTATTATAAATAAATGTGGGATAAAAATAATTTCACGTTTGATTATACCACCACAAAATATCCATTTTAATAACACGAGTGTGATTTGAGAAGGGTAAAATGTATGCAGATATTATCTCTACATATCTCAAATTTTATTTGTACAATGACAACATATCCCTTGAATATAGAGCTGACGTGGCAGCGAGTGTAATACAACACCTACTCTAAGATTGTGTTATGCGTCTCAAGGTGATATTGAATTCAATTATAAATAGTAAGGTTGTGTAATAGATCATCATAATAGTTAAAGTGTGTAACTGACTTTTCTATTCAAGTTGAAGGGGAAATTTATGTCTTTTCCCTAAAATGAACTATAAATAGAAACACATGGCATGCATGTATTGAATTGGTGTAAACACCCGGTTCGAATAAGTTTTACCCAAACAACTCCATGTTTTATCCTACAACCACAATATATCCTTTGTATTACCACTGTGTGATTTGAGAAGAATAGAATGTACGCAGTCTTATCTCTATCTATCCCAGATTTTATTCTACCATAACATATCCCATGAATTGAAATTTCAGAGGGAGACTGTACAAATACGCAAACCTTACCTTTACTTTTGAGGTATTATTGTTTATCCCACTAACCAATAACTTCAAAAAAAATATCAACATGTGCGACCTGCCAGTATATCATGAACTGAACCTATGTCTCTTCGAATATGCGTTTGTGTTAAGCTTTGCTTTAACTCTAGTTTCATGATAATTTTGCTTGCTATACCCTGACACACATATGATGGAAGTACTTCAAAATTTGTAATGTTCCTTCCCGTCGTCGTGAGTAAGTCAATAGGGAAAGAATTCAGGCCAAAAAACTTTCCAAGTGTCGACTTATAAATTTTTTACTAGATCAATCTCAGTCGAAATTTGGGTTAGGTGAGGTCTAGAACCTTCCGGGAAAGGGTGGGGTGTAAATGTTTAGGCTTGCTTGATGTTTTCTTGTAGCTGGAACTTTAAGGAATTGAATTCGGTAAGTAAAACTCCCGAAATTGATCTTGGTGTGAACAGGTCGTTACAGAATGAATTCAATAATCTATTATGGTATCTGTAATTTAACTACATAAGTACCGAGTCGAGTTTTGTTGAAAGTGCGGTAGAATTTTCAACTAAGCTACTCCATAAATAGAGATTCCAAGTTATTATGAGATAATACTCTCTGTTCAATGGAAAATACAAACTTAATTTAATTAAAACAAAAAAAATCGTGAACACAGAATGCTTTGTGCACCGTGTTGTCCTGCCCTTACTAAGGTGCCAATTCAGGGAGATCCAGAGAAGGTGTTTTGAAATTTGAAAGCCAACAAGGAATATAAGTATATGAAGCCATATGAGGACAGTACCTTGGGTAAGCAAAAAATGCAACACATTCAGCTATTGATCTTTGAAATGGAAAACCAGGAATACAATTATTCCTCAAATCAAGCACTCCATTTTCAATCAATCTCAAACAAATTGGCCCAAATCCAGTAAAATAGTTATCGGACAACGATAAATTTGCTAAATTCTCCAGGGCACAAATCACATCAGGCACCATCCCATACATCTGATTACCAGCAAAATTCAACATTTCTATATTTTCCAAACACCCTAATGAGAACGGAAGTGGACCGGTGAGTCTATTATTACCAGCATCGAAAACTACTGCTTCGTTCAAGAATCCTATCTCGTAAGGCAGACATCCAGTCAACAAGTTGTTAAGCAGCAAAATCTCAGACAAACTCGACAAGATTTTGGAAATACTATGTGGGATAGGACCGAAAAATCTGTTGTTTGCTAAAGTGAGATACGTGACATGACTGATCGCGATGTTATCAGGAAGCATTTGCATGAAATTGTTGTTGTTGATGAAGAGCGCGTCTAATTGATCTTTAGTGAACAATTGAGGTGGGATTGATCCTGTGAAAGAATTGAATCTTATATCCAATATGTTTAGGCTATTCATGCCCAAAATTGGACTAGGAAATGGCCCGGAAAATTGATTGTTACTAATATCAAGTTCATAGAGATAAAAAAGATTCGCTATTTTTGGAGATAAAGTCCCACCAAAATTGTTTGAATTAGCATGGAAAATTGCTATATCAGGAAGCTGATCAAGGAATCCATCAAGCGTCAACGCACTAAGTTGAAATCCATTGAAATCAATAGAAGCAAGAGCAATTGCTGAACTGTTATCTGGAGGACTTTCACAATAAAAACCAGTATAATTACATATATTTGGACCAACCCAAGTTTTTGTAATACCTAGAGGATCAGCAGAGATGATATTCTTGAATTTTTGTATAATGGGGTATACTACAGCAAGCCTTTGATCTGAAAAAATCAATTGGTTTTGTCCCTTTAGTGGTTGAGCTGTTGTAACACTGAAGAAAAATATTAGAAATTTGATAGTACTATTCATCATGTCTCAAAACTAAGAAAATGATAACAGAGAACTAACAAACAAATCATCAATACTATATATAGTCTCAATAAACTACGTTTTACTGAACCGTGATGGAGTCAGAATTTTCATTAATAGAATTCAGAATATAAAAAAGTAAACACACTGAAGAATAAGATTTTTTTAAAAAAAATTTAACACTACTTGATTTACCAACCAATACTTAGTGATTTTTTTTGTTTATATAAAATTGAGACAGTGCAAAAAGAAGCAACAATGAATGGATCACTATTTTGGTTGTGGGCAGGGACCATAATGCTTTTCATTATTAAATCTTGCACATAAAGAAGATGTCATGTTACCTTTTTGACATTTTCTGTTATCTGTTTGGCCACTAGTACCAGATTTCAATATTTATATACAATAAAATCTTTTGTACCAAGTACTAACTATATTAGAATCCAGTCAATATTTGCTCATGTAACAATCAGCTTTTGTTGCAATCCATGACTTTTTGTTGCAATCCATGAAGCGAAGTCAGAAATTTTAACTGAAATTGTAATATATGCATATTCAATTGAATTTCTAAATGTAAGCTATTGAATTCATCCGAACTTATTTTTCACGGGAGTCATTAGCTAATCATAGCTTTGTCATTCTACATTTTATGGATTAGATGGGCTTTTATGACATTTAAGAAGATCAAGTAAGAAGGCTTTTTGTGTTTGATTTGTGATCCATTTCAACCAAATCTAATACAGAATAATGGGCCTTGTGTTTCAGTTTCAAAATATTTCTACAACATGGCCTAAGCCCTAAAGTAACAAGTTTTATGAAGAGTAACAGGCCCAGTTGGGAATTAACAACAATAGTAGTTATTAATTCTTCAATCATAAACTAGTTCATATCACTTGTTTGAAATTTGAATCTGTTGTGTTATAAATGGGCTAATTTATTCAAATAGTAAAAAAGTAATTACATCATGTCACATATGTTCAAAGTGTTGAATTAAAGGTTGAAGAATTTTGTTGATAAATTGACTAGACCAGTTACAAAGACGGTAAGAACTCGTGCTTCTTTACCAGTTGATTATTCTTTATCAAAAAAATGATAAAATGTATAGAGGTCAATGCTATTTAACACATAAATAAATTTTCATTATGAAATTTTTGACTTCGTCATTGTATAGCAAAGTAGTCAAATTTTGAAATTTACATTTTACAATCTAGCAAAAAAATCAGATATTTGAATTCATTTTATGGATATAAAAAAAAACAAATTGACCCATTGCCAGTCTCGACAGTGAAAGAGGACGCCACTAAAGCCCAAATTTGACTAACCAGCGTACAAATACTGTTCTCATTCTGACTCTCAAATTTTTCAATATTAACTTTCACTTTCACACATTCTTGTTAGGATTAACTTATAACCTAAGAAAAAAAAATGTATCTTACGTTATTAAATTTTTTATATATATAATTCAAGTCTTCCTGGTTTCATGTAGTCAAATACTCAAATTTTGACTATATCATATAATAACTGATTATTGAGTTTCACATTTTATGTGCTTGGTATGTCTAGTATGACGATCAGAGTAGGCTCGACCATTGATTATAAAATATTTTGAATTAATTCAAACAATTAAATATTTCAAATTTTAAATTATATATAAAATTTAGATGACTTTTATCATTTTTGAACATATGATTTGAGAAAACTCGTATAAAAATCCAAGAATATAGCATAGGATACCATGTAAAGGAGGGTTCTCGTAATTTGACCAGACAAACAAAGAAAAGAAAGTTATCTACTTGGGTAATAGGGCACGTTCATCTCCACATGTGATCCATTTTCTACATCTTATTATAATATAAATACTATCTCTATTTTCTATTTTTTATGCTCAAATTTGTCCAAGGTCCACTATATATTTTTATAATCACGTAACATTCATTTTATATTAGTTGTTCATTTTAAAAAAAATAATTCGAAATATATTTTAATTTTGACTAAAATAATTATAACGATACCAAATTTTGTAAAGTATCTTTTACACCATGCACTATTTAACAGTGTGTGCTAAAGATATATATGTGTCTATCTATGCGAAAATATTATTTAATTATAAATAGTGATATGTCCATATGGTCACATAATCTTTAAAATACAATATTAAATTGTGTAGATCCTCCATAAAGATTAGTATCGTAACATCAATTTCGGCCAAAATTAAAATATTTCTCAGACCATTTCCCAACTATAAATAGTTATCTTTACGTTCGTTCTTTGTTCATTTTTACTTATTCAATATACTAAAAAATAGTCATCCACTTAACTTGTTTGGTTTGAAAAAACAAAAGATAAGTAATCATTTTGTATCTGTTTTATTTTGTTATTTAATACTATTCAATTCTAAATATTTACAAGACCTAGAATTAATAGAGTAGATAATAATAACACTACTTTTATATATATATATATATATATATATATATATATATATATATATATATATATATATAATTTCGTAATTAAAAATGTATCAAGTCAAATATAAATGAAGAGATTATCGTCAATTTACAAACCAATATAAGTTTAATTTTAAAAAAATCGGTGAAGCCTACAAAAATTTTATAAGGTCCAAAATTTTCCTTCTCAAAGGAGTATACTACTAATTGGTACTCACACCGTCCGGATTTGTTTATCATTATATATTTATTAAAAGTTAATTTGACTAATTTTTAAAGGTAAATTAGATCACATTAATTCGATATTTTAAACAAAAAAATTAGATATTCTAAAATTATATGAAAAGTACTATAAATTACAATTTTTTGCATATGAATATGATAAAAAAATTCATCTTAAAATGTTAGTCAAATTTTTTATAATTTAACTCTAAAAATAGAAACTATAATAAACAATATCAAACGAAGAAAATAAATTAGTAAAACTATCAAGTAAATACTTCTTAAAAGGCATATAAGAGAATAAAATAGACACTTTATATAAAACAAGGTAGAATCCAACACAATAGACCATTAAGAATAAAATTTTCACAAAGTCAATTTACATATCTCAATTATTTCATAATACACCTTCCATTCATCAACATAAAACACTAAAAAAACTCATAATACACCTTCCATTCATCAACATAAAACACTAAAAAAACTATCTATCAAATTTTACAAGAATGAAAAGCAACCTAACATTTTTCCGTCTCTATTCAATTATTATGATTTTTATCACACTTCAATTAATTATTTGCGTTTTCATATTGACTTTGCAATATATATATATACACACACATTAAGTTATGCAAGTTGTGACCCACGGACACCACCCAAATCGTTATCTGTCCCTTGAGTCAATCCACAAATATTAATTTCAAAAGATTTATCTCGAACCAACATCTTCCCCCTCAATTATTATTCCAAATTAGCCAAAAATAATTTATAGACAATTAGCTGGACCATACATTTGAATAATATAATAAAAACAACACTAATTCAAAAAAGTCCAAACTGATGTAACACCCACCCATTTTCCCATTAATTATTATATATATATATATATAACTTAAAGTTTGTCAAACGTCCCACTTACGACACGTTCTTGATTAGACTAATCCCAACTTGATTAAATTCTTTAATCTTAATTCCCATTGACTAACTATTACGGTAGGAACCAAAACTCTTTAATTTATTTTTAATTATGATTTAGTGGAAGATGGAATAAGTGGACTTCCTTGCTAGAATCAACCTAACGTGTATAAATAATTAAACGTCAAATCATAAAATTAAACAAAGCTAAAAAAAAATCTTCCAACATGATATGTATAGTATATTAAATTAAAATTTTTTAAAAAAATAAAAAATAAAAAGTAGCCACTAAATTTTTGCATGATTCAATTTTCCACCAAATCCACAATTTGTGCTCTCTATCTTCTTTTCAAATTTTTTTCCACGCATAATCAAAAGTATTTCAACGACAAGTACATAGAGAGAATAAAAATTAAACAAATATTGCCTCTTTTTTTTTTCTTTAGGCGTTGACCGTTAGATCGACGGTGCCGATTTACTCTTCATGTTTCTAAAGAAGATCTGAGCCATTGATTTATCATTAAGATTTACGAAGATTCAAGAACATGAGCTCCTGGTGTTTCTGTAATGGAATGTGAATGATTGTGTTCTCCTTCATATGTAACAATCAACATAGCTGCATCGTCTAATGCTCTTTCTACATGTTTTCTTGCTGGACATCCTCGTACACTGCTACATTTGTAATATCCCCTGAAAAAAAAAATCAAAATCGAATCAATACGATTACTCTGAATGATTTAAAATCAAGAAATTGTGGGTTCGAGTAATTATAATAAAGTAGAAAAATTTACCTAGGATGAGGAGAACCCTTGATGGGTTTTTGACCATATTTTCTCCATGAATAATCATCAGGTGGAATATCAGCCATTTTCATGCTAATAGCAGGGACTCTTACTACTCTTTTGACTCTTGATTTTCTGTATAAGTTATTAATAGATCAGTTAAAACTCAGATAAATTTGTAAAGATCTGTATATTTATGGATTTATAGTGATAAAAATGGAATCTTTGGGTTGATTTTTACCTTTTCTTTGGGCAGTGGCAACGGCCAGAGGAACCACCGGCGCTGCTGCACTTGAGGGCGGTATCGTCCATGGAACTACACTTCCTTTTGAATGAAGAAGTAGAAAGAGGTGGACGGCCGGCGGATGAAACCTGAGAAAGATTTGTTATTTGAAACCCAGAAGATAAAGACTGCTGTAAGCTCTCTGTTTCCCCTGTTAACGATGACATAAACGAAGTCGCCGGCGATGGAGAAGCAAAATTAATGGTAGTTGATGCTTCTTTCCTTTCAATCGACCCATTTTTCACTAATTGAAGATGGTTATGAGGTAAAGGAGGCAATCTTTGAATTGGGGTCGGACAGTAGATTTTGGTATTTGAAGCTTGGGGTTTTTCGATTTCTTCAATTTGGGGGTTTTGATTCTTAATGGATTGTTGTAATTGTTGTGGCTTTGATGGAAGTGGAGGAGAAAGAGAACTAATTGGTCCTCGC